CCACACGAAGAAAAGGAAATGTACTTGGAGAAATTTTGAGCCGGAATTTCGGACTTGAAGTTGACAAAATCTGTCATCACCTCAACTCCAACTCTGCAAAAAAAAGACGCTCAACGCTGGAGTTCACGGAACCCCATTTGGGAAACGCTGTACTAGGGCATTTTTAGTAACGTGTATATTATAAGAAGCAGTCGAAACGACCGCTAAGCAGACCGACGAAGCTAGTCAGCGTAGATGCTAGATTGCAACTAGCGTTAAAATGGGTGTTGCAGCTAGCTCTGTCGAGTTTCATTTTAAATTTTCTACGCTGTTGACCTGTTATTTGTTACAGCTCGATGTAACGGGCGCTACAGCAGCCGTTGTAGCTAGCATCTGTTTCTCTTTGAAACTACTAATAAATGTAGCTAGCTGCAACGGGCTATTTACCGTATTAAGCTCCGGTTCCGTGAACTCCAGCATCGAGCGTCTTTTTTTTGCAGAGTTGGAGTTGAGGTGATGACAGATTTTGTCAACTTCAAGTCCGAAATTCCGGCTCAAAATTTCTCCAAGTACATTTCCTTTTCTTCGTGTGGGGATCATGAAAGATGTGCACGAGAAAGTTGCGCACAGTGAATGTTACGCACGGCTAGGCACACGAAATAAAAAATTCTTATTTATGTTTGCAAAGATAATCAACAACTTCGCAAAACTTTCGAAATTATAAGAAAAGATTAGCTAATACACTTCGCAAAAAATGTTCACATCAGTCTTTTGATTGTATGCTAGAGGCATACTGGTAGTTATTATTAATTAAAATAGTCGGATTTCTTTGCTAAGCTATGAAAACCGTGCATCATGGAAAAAATGTGGAACTCTTTCCCGCTAAATTGTTTCAGAAAATATTCGATCTGTCTTGCAGTATATAATTTCCTAGACTGTTGGTTTTCAAGAAATTTCGTTTTGCACCTCACCTGGAACGAGAGTCTTCTACTAATCAAACCACTTGTCAGAATTATTCTAAGATTAATAATGGATTCTGCTGCATTTCTTCAAATACGATTATTAATCTTAGAATAATTCTGATAACTGGTTCGATTAGCCGACGACTTTCCTTCGGAATGAGGTGTAAAATGAAATTTCTGGAAAACCAACAGTCTAAAAGATCATATGCTGCAAGACAGATCGAACACTTTTTGAAATAATTTTTCACATATGTGCCCCTAAGAGTAGCTACTAGAGTTTGGCAAATCAACCGCCAGTTGGTCGGTGGGAATACTTTGTCGTTTTCCACTAGCTTTTATTTTATTTTAATATAAGTAAAGAATGTTCACTACAGAAAATTACATTGTACAACCAAAAATAACATAGTCAACTGCTTACTGAGCTGTCGTTTTTTACGGAATATAATTACATGGATTATGACCATAATTTGGTGGTGGAACATTAACCCATTGTCGTTGGGTTTCAGTTACTTTTCTTTCAAACATCACCGGACTAGCACGAGGAGAAGGAACGTCTGGCTTTCGAAAGTTTCTTAAATAATGCTATAGAACGTTTGAGCGAAGTGGTAGACAACAGTGTTACTTATTACCTTAGCTGGAGGCAGGAGAAAAAGCTTTTAAATGCACTTATTGGTTATAAAGTTATATAGATCATGAATAAATATGTATTTTTATTTATCATAAGCTATTGAGAAATAAAATAAAAAATATTAGAAAAAATATTAGAGTCAGTTTTACAGAACGAAAAATTGTCGAACCCTTTACTGACTTTTACTATGAAAGTTAAGAAAGTTTAGTTTTTTAGGTACTAAACTTTGATAAAAAAACATTTGGAAAAAGCATGTCTCGACTGAGAATCGAAATCAATCGTGCCTCCATACCTCAGTGGTAGAGCATCGGTCTTGTTAACCGATGTCCTGGATTCGATTCTCAGCCGAGACATGCTTTTTCCGAATGTTTTTTTTATTAAAATTTAATTAATCGCTAAAAGCTATGTTTTCTTTAGTTTTAGGGATATTTAGTTTTTCTTATACAAGGAACAGTCGATCGGTCAACGTGTCTTTGTGTTCATAAAGAAACAGAAAAGAATGTTCATATTAAATTATTCTTGATTGTCAATACACATTAATAAAACGAATAAAAGATGCTTGTAATAAATGAAATAAAAGTTGAATAAAATATCAAAATAGTCTGATACGACCAATTGCATTTTAATACGCATCGTTAGATCTGTAACGGTAGATATGAATGAAAACTTGTGTTAAAAGTCTGTCAAATAACAGTTTCTTTCTCTTTTATCTCTTGATACCGTTCAGCAATTTTTTTTGGTAATCATAACCTAGAACATACTAAAGATAAACCTGAACATATATTTATACGACCGCGACAGCCTAATGACGCTTAGACTGACATTGTTTCTGAATTCTTTTACTACGGATACCGTTGTATATTTTACACTACAAAAAATCTAAGCCAGTATGCCAGTATTCACTAGTCTAGAGAGAGAGAGAGCATAGAAGATGATATCAACATTATTAACTGACCAGAAAGAGTTGAGAGAACGGTGATTTTCGCACCACAAACTTTCCTTCCAAGTATTCGTTGTGAATTAGTTGTACAACTTTTTTGTCATCGGATATATGATCAAATGAAAAGCTTTTAAGCCTTTTTGAATGATGCAATAAGAAACGTCTGTGGCATTATATTTTGGGATGGACAGTAGTTGCAGCGAGTATATATAGAGAGAGAAGGCAAAGCCGAAAAAAAAACGAAAAAGAGAAAGTTCCTGTAGAGATTCGAACTCTATCTATACAAAGGTTAATAATCTTCTCTGTACCACAGGAACACAACTAAAAATACGTATTTTTTGTTCTGTACTGATTAGTTAGTTAAATGAACTTAAAAAGTTTGATTACATAATGTAATTAGGATTATTCGCCATGAAAGAAGTATTTTTCAGAGTTGAATACTGGGACAATGATACAAAAAATTCAGCTTCCAATATTTTTTTCTTTAGACACAATGTTGGATCCTTCATACTGAAAAATAAAAATAAAAATCGCATTTTCACCATAGAAGAAGCTTTCCTAAATTTGTGTCAAGAAAAAAAAATGCTGAAAATTAAGTTTTACATAGTATTATTTCTAGGTTCAACTGTGAGAAATGTTTCCTTAAGTGTACGAGAAAATTTAGTCGAACGAAACGGAACGAAGGTTCTTTCACACATGATTATGCCAGATTAATTTGAAAGTTTAGAAGAAAGAAATCATTGCTTAATCAAAATATCATCGAGCAACTCGTTTCCCATAGCGGACAGCGTTTAATGATTTACAGCAGTTCGGTCCTCCGTCGTGGATACAAGCATAATCTTGATAAGTCGGTGTTGACCTCGTGTACATCAACTCGCGTAGCGTTGCGAATTAGCACGTATACACGTCTGTCGATACTTATACACACTTCTCCGAGGAACTCTGGTCGGAACTTGCCTTTATTCTCAAACAAGAAGAAATAGAGAAAAAGTCACCGTCACACTCAAGATGATGATCAAAGATTCTTAATCAGGCAGCCAAGCCGATGACGATTGTCATATGCTTCCAATTCTTCCAAATGTTCATAGGCCAAATCAACTAGTCTATCGATACTTGCATCTCCAATGTCGGCGAGTTCAATATGAGTTTCGAGCCATATTTGCCAGCGATAATAATTGTCATCAAGAATGCCACTTAAATGGAGATCTGTATTATTCTGAGGACCATCCATCAGTATTTTTTTTTAATTACAGATTGATGATTTCGAGCCCAGAAAAGCAGATTCCGACTGGCATCAGGATGGAGCGGATCGGGGACATAATCACCAGTACCCAAGGATAAAAGCCGTATAAAAGCCGTTCTGTCACAATTTGGATACAAATTTAGAGTATGATTGTAAGCGATCATTGCTGGATTATTTGCCTGTACGCCACCATCAACATATACACTATTTTTGAGTCGGTAGCCAGGAAAATAAGTGGGTGCAGCCGTTGTACACATAAGTATATCTGTGAGAAGAGAATCCTTTGCTGAATCTCGTTGGCTAGCTTGTCGTGTGAATATATCAGTGACGTTGCCCTCGCTTTTCACTGCCGGTATGAGCTCACTAATGGCATTCGATAGTTTTGAAATGCCGAAGTACTCATCGAACAACGTTTGGCGACCTTCATCCATCGACGTAGTGTGTTGAAGAACTTTTGCTCGCTGTGGATTATTTTGGGATAAAATCTTTGATGCCCAATGGAGATAATTTATTTCGATTGGTATTGGGGTAAATACACTACTAATACGATTATGTCCCGAACAAACAACTACGAATAAAACATTTGGTTCATGTTTGCCTGGTGTATAGTCTATTATAGCAAGGGAAAGTACAAATACCAGACCATGCTCTGCATTAGAAGCAACGCCGCATGGTTGTATTTTCATGTTGCCAAATGTAGAAAGGAGCGGTAAATAAGCGCGCTGTTGAAATACCTTTTTGTTCGATCAAAATTTGATCGCCCATTCGGAGAAGGTCGAAGCATGTTCTTAAACAAGAAGTTCAAGGACGAGCTCGTCAGTGCTCGAACAGTTGTCCAACAAATATTTAATAAATGTTTCACAATTAAAATTATTCTTGCTAGGCACTAGACAAGCAAGCACTGCCAATTGATCATCTTCATCGTTCACGTCTTTCACAAGTTCACAAGCATGATATCCGAAATGAGTTTTTAGATGCTCGATGTTATTGATATCAAATGTGGTACTACTAAAAATTGCGGACATGGCCATCAGATTAGCAAAATCAAGGTTGTCATCGTCAATTCCGAATGCGCTCAACAGATCTTCAAGAACTTGGATACGTTCGTGTGGGATGACAAAAAATCTGTTGTGACTGGTATTCTCCGATAGTTTTAAGGTCTTCAGTACTTGTTTACATAGTTCGAAATTGTCTTTACCTACAGTTAAGATGGATTAAACTTGAATTCTTACGTAATTTTGAAATCTATAGTTTCCCGTACGTACCTTGCGCTAGTAGATAACCTCATCGGGTCAGCGCAAGCGTCCAAAATTATGGCCGTTTGAAATACTTTATTGGATATGTCTATCTCACTTCCGGAATGTTTGGCAAATAATGGAAAATGTCCGATACGAATCGGAAAACAAAATGCTTACTAGATGGTACTAAGGCAAAAAAGAGATAGAGTAAGCTAAATACTCTTTTTGACACAAATTCCACATTCTATATTAGTCTTCAAACTAGACAGAGCACAACATTATGAAAAAAGCATAAAAGATCATTTTACACCAGGGAGCCAACAAACAGGTGTACGATACAATTTCCGCCGCTAAAGCAATTATTTTGCTTGTGTTTTAAATTTTTTTCTAGAAAATGATCCCTGATCGAACATGGTTGTTGTGTGAACAAACTCTTCAACAGTCTACAGTGCGATGCTCGGTTTTGTGAAACTTTATCCTGAACAAAAAAATTGTAACTTTATGTTACTAGATTTTTCTGTTGTCCTTCCTGGCTACTAGGACGAACACTACAATGAAAAGAAGGAAGCACAGTTTAGTGCAGTAGTTGCTTCTTTCGCGAAATCGAGCACCGTATTATGTCAGATTTCAAGAAAGAAAGTAAACGCAGTACAAATAATGCGCTTCCTTCTATGAAATTTGATGCCTGTTGCATTTGTGGGAGGTGCCGCATTTAAGCCCGAAACTCAAAGTTTCGGAAGGAAGCATAATTTTGTGTTCTGTGTGTTTTCTTCCTGATATTTAGTACACTACGAGTAGAAAGACTTGTAGAAAGACGAGTAGAAAGAGAAGGGAGAAATACGATAGTAAATGACACTTCCTCCTGTGAAATACGATATCCGCCTGTATGTGAGGAACGGAGGCGGAGCCGAGGTTATTTCAGTGACTTGCAGGCGTTATAAAGTCATCGTTTAACCCTACAGAGTTACCCGGACAAGCTTTTTTTCCTACTGAATTGCTATAAAAAGTTATGTGAGACACTTAGCTCTACTGTACCTCCAGCCTGTAAGCAAGCAATGGCATAGTTGAGTCGAGCAAGTCTGCAATAGCCCGCAAGCCGATTGGAAAATGGCGCTTCGCGTGAAGCATCGATGTCTTTGCTCGAAATTGTATAAATAATCTTCTTGGCAGTTTTTCCAATCTTTGCATGATGATAAATTTGAACGTGCTTGTCGAGTTCAAGAGCAGCTTCATGTAATGCTGAACTGTCGTAGGCTCCTTGAAAGAGGATCTCACTTTGCTCTAACAATGCTGTATGTTTGGGATTCTTTCGATGTGGATCAGCAAAATCGTACGAAGAAGAACTTCACCAATAGGGCATACTGTTCCTCATTGTAATGATTAACTGCTTCTTCCATCATCGTATTCAAATTACGCCGAACAGTATACTCAGCGGTGACATCTTTTAGAGACGATCTTTCCTAGGGCTGTCGGAGTTCCGTTAAGTTTGTACTAACTACTAACGAAAACAGTTAGTAGTTATTTAAACTATGAACTGAAATAGTTAGTCAGTTAGTCAAACTACTAACTAGAAGGGTTAGTAGTTAG